AAAGGGGTGCCTGGGTGGCCTGTAGGCCAAGGATCGGACTTCGGTTCAGGTCATGATCTTGCAGTTCGTGAGTTCAAGTCCTGCATCGGGCTCTGTGCTGACAGCTCAGGGCCTGGAGCCTGCCTCGGATTCTGTGTGTGTGTGTCTCTATCTGGCCCTCTTCTGCTCACACTTTGTCTCTCTCTGTCTCTCTCTCTCTCTCTCTCTCTCTGTCAAAAATAAATAAACATAAAAAAAAGAAGGCAGGGCAGTAGTGGACTTTGTAAAAGGGCAAATGATGATCCTACTATGGAAAGAGATCTTTGCCAGGGTATTTGGAAGAACCTCAGATAGAAGCTTGCCTTTGCGAACTACACACAATTTGGCCTTGACCACAAACCATCTCAGAGGCTTTTATTTGTTGGTTGAGGTGATGATCCCAGTTACTGTGTTCATTCAGAGCAGAGCAAAAGGAAAAGGTTCCTTTGCTATTGACACTTAATTCCAAGGTATTTTCCAAATTCAATTTAATGTAACATTAATAATGTAGTGATTTTGCCCATTTTTTAAAAATATTGTTTAAGTTTATTTATTTATAGTTGAGGGAGATAGTGCAAGTGGGGGAGGGGCAGAGAGAGAGAGAGAGAGAGAGAGAGAGAGAGAGAGGGAGGGAGAGAATTCCAAGCCGGTCCTTCACTGTCAGTGTACAACCTGATGCAGGGCTCGAAGCCACAACTGTGAGATCATGACCTGAGTCAAAATCAGGAGTCCGATGCTTAACCTACTGAGACACCCAGGTGCCCCTGATTTTGCCCATTTTATTCACATTGCTCTATCCCAGTGTTTTTACTGTGTCTGGTAGTAAGAGGTGAATAAATATTGAATGAGAGTTATTAATTTGCATAATATAAAATGAATTAGTTTCTCCTTTCTTTGGAGATCTTGCAGTAAAGGTCATGTAGAACAATTTTACATCTGAAGAAAGACAGCACAAGTTCAATTTTAATGAAATTCAGGATGAGTTCTTACCATTGCTATTGGAGAATTAATAGAATTTGTTCAGTGGTAGGTATCTTTATTTACAATCAGATTGTTAATCTTTTAGGACATTGGCTTTTTGAATTATTGATTCTATAGCACAGTATATATAGACATACTTCCTCTTCCAGATTTTCTTCTTGTATTTTATTGTTTGGCCTTTTGGATTAAAATTGAAAATATATCTGCAGTCTAATTTTTGTATATGGTGTGATGTTGGCATTAAGATACACTTAGGAGTATTTTTTCTCCATACAAATATGCAGTTTACTCAACAACATATGTTAAAAATAGAGAGCATTATTCTCTATTGCACTGTGTGGCACTTTGACATATCTAGACAGTTGTCCATTCTAGATTTCGTGTTTATCACATTGGCCGTTTTCAGAATCTTTGCATCAATACCGATTTGACAAAATGGATACAGACTTTTGCGTGAAGCACAGTGAAGCCTAGTAGGAGTACAGAGGTTGGCTTTAGTTATTTGAGGACCTGGAGGTATATTACAGAGTAAGGGAATAACTATGTACGAAACAAATGTCCTCATACTGAAAACACAGAACACTTGCTTCAGTTAAAAATCTCCTAAGGACATGACATAATTTATATTAGTGTGTCTGTTCTCCTTAGTTGCTACAACTCATCAGGGGTCTTTATTGGCATCCTGTGTGCAACCTCTGTTTGAGAAGTTCAGAGAAGATAGAATTTACACCTAGGACTAAGTGTTTCTTTATGGGGAGTCATGGAACATTCTGGCTAACATGATTGTCTTCAATTTGCTTATATTACTGTTGTAAAGTTAATTGCATTTCAAAGGGATTTTTGGAGATATGATAATGTTCTACAACCCTTTGAACACTGACCAGAGTTATAGGTTGACCTGGCAAAGTGGCTGGCTTAGAGGAAGAAATCAGGTGAATAAACTTAGGGCAAGAACATTCCAGTTCTAGAAGGTTAAATCATCGTGGAACCTGCTTGGGATTCTCTATATCCCTCTCAAAAACAAATAAATAAACTTAACAAAAAACAAAACACTTTTCCATTTGGATTCATTGACATCATACTTCCTTAATCCTTTTATTGCTTCCTTTTCAGGCTATTTTTGGGGATTCAACTGCACCCTGTTTTAATGTTCAGGGTTTTTATTTAGCATACTTATATTATTGCCTTTACTTACTCAAGTTGTCTGCTCTCATAATCTCAAACACCATGTTTATGACCTTGATTTGCAAATTCAGTATCCAGCTCTACTCTTCTCATCTGATACCTGATACCTATATCAAACCCCAGGCTGGATATCTCCCCTTAAATGTGCCTTGGGCGGATCACATATGTAAAAAAGAATATTTCTAACACAAATGCCATTCACCCACACCTTCCTTATAACAGGACATTGCTATAGGATCTCTGTAGTTTCTCATTCCAAAAACCTCAACATGATTGCCACTTCCATTTCTCTTATCCCTGACAATCACCAACCTTATGACCCCACCCATTAAACACATTTTATATACACTCAGTTCTTGCAACTCCTGGAACTGACCCTTGCTCAGTCACTACTCTATCCTTTTATTGAGACTCTTTTATCTTGTCTTCTGCTGTCAAGTTTGGGCCTTCTCATTATTCGGTACAGGACTGATGTTCTTAACATAAATGATTGATGATTTCACCATTCTAATTGCAATACATTTGTAGTCACATGTTGCCCTAAGGATTAAAACTAAATTACAATCTCATCTTTTCTAACCTCGTATCTGTCTGCTATTCAGTTTTTACAGCTGAATCTCTTAGTCATTTATTCACCTGTTTTTCGTACAGTCCAGTGTATTCACAATTTTTTCTCTTTGTTTTGCCTGAAAATTCTTTTTCTTATATTCCTCAGGTTATTTATCATCAATCTTCAAGCCTCAATTACATATTACTTCCTCAGGGGAGTCATTACTCAAGTCCTTGTATTAGATTACCATCCTCTGTCAGGCTGCCTGTGCACTCTTCATTTCTGAATAGCAGTTCTCAGGATGTTAATGTCAAAGTTTGCTTAATAATTTTTGTCTGTGTCACCTGTTACACTGAAGGCAAAGCACTCATTTTGCTCCCCAATGTTTTCCTGTACCTGAGCAGTGTCATGTCTAGCACTGTGTGTGTGACATTTGGGAGTACTTACTAAACTCAGTATTTTCAATGGATATTTATCAAAGTTCCAGAGATATCTCAAATGCAGTGTGTTCAACATAGCTTCCACCATCTTATCACATAAATAATATTCTTTCTTTGTCACCATCTCATTGAACAACACACCATTGACTTGACTTCACAAACCAGAAACTTGAGTATCAACTATGAAACCACTCTGGTCACCAAGCCATAAACAATTATTAGGTATGCTCATAGATCCTAAATATTCTCATACCCCTTATCATAGTTCAGTTCTCACAGGCACCATCAGTTCTTAGTTGTGCTTTTGCTATAGTTTCTAAACTGTTCTCTTACAGATTTATAAAGAATTTAAAATGCCATGAAGAAATGCTAATGATAGAATGGTACAAAACAATGTAAAATGAAAAGTTTATATATGCACTAAGGTCATGTCTTCATGGCATGGACAGACTCTAATAAATAAACATTTGGAATAGAGGGATTATATATCTTTTAATTCCAACATCTTTAATGGGCTTGCAGTAAGTCACTAATGGGAAAAAATAATAAAAGTGGGGGAAGGCTCAGCATCATAGTTTTAGATGTTCCTCAGGTCACCTCTAGGAATGAAAAAAGTCCAATTTCATTGTGTCCTGTATTTTGATATAATGACCAATTGACAGAATAAACTAAACAATAGTCATGATTCCAAAATTTTAGGTAGACACGTGTCTAAATGGGTGGACCTGTGTCTAATGCATTAGAAAGCCTCTTGAGTTCTTTAATAATCAGGTATCATAAAAGACCATGAAGTTATGACATTATTATTCAACTTGTAAGTTGT